GAGAAGACGTTGAAGATACAGGGCATTTGCCAATCACACACTATGAGTTCCAGAGGGCTCAGGGGAAGAGTTGAGAGGGTTAGATCCATGGATGTACAGAGACGCGAGGGGACGAGTGCCCAGGAGATTACAGGTGGCCTGGGAGGTTTGATCTGCTGGGGCTTTGTAAATACTTCATCCACAGATTGAACTAGATTGCTAAAGCATTTGTGCTGTCCAATGTAATTTTCCCAGGCTTCTTTTTTGATAGGATTTTAAATCATGGAAATGGAGACAACTTATCTCCAGAACTCTATTTTCGGTCAGCAACAGCCTGAAATAATTTGAATGCAGGTGTTTTGGAGTCAGACAATCTCCCAGAACAGGCAAGGTCAGGCAAATTTGTGTGATTTCTGACCATTGCTGCTCTGCCGCCTACCTCCAGAAACATGTAAAAGAAGATCAGGTTACTTGGATTGATGCCCAGCTGCCCATGGGGGCACTGTTGTCCCCAGCACCATTTGCTTCAGATTTCTCCTGTTACCAGTCCCTGGATATTTCCATGTGACCTCACCCTGAGCCTACATCCACTAGAACAGTTTATAGAGTTTATGACCCAGAGTACGTTTCCTTTCTCCAGAGATGGTGGCTGGTTTAATTTTCCTAGAGCCTTTTTAATTACCACAGAGTCCTGGTAAATGATGTTTGCCTGCTTTGGAAACCTTTGCAAATAATGTGGGAGGTACTGGTTTTACTAAGGTGAGGGCTCAGAATCCAAAGCCCTTTATAATCTGGATTTTATGGCACCTTGTTTCTCCCCTTCGAAGAATTCACTTATCACATCTGTAATTCCACAGTGTATTTATCAGGGCTCTCCAGAAAAATAGAACCAGTAGGTGATGGATATAGATGTAGACATAGGTAGAGACAGAGACTTAGATTTAGATTTATATAAGTTTATTTTAAGGAATTGGCTCATGATTGTTGGGGCTGGCAAGTCCAAAATCAGTAGGGCAGGCAGAAGGCTGGAAACTATAGTAGAACATCTATGATAGTCTTAAGACATAATTCCTTCTCTCTGGGACAGAATTCCTTCTCTCTGGGAAACCTCAGTTTTTGCTCTTAACGCCTCAACTTATTGGATGAGGCCCACCCACATTATGGTGGGTAATCTCCTTTACACAAAGTCAACGGATAGTAAATGCTGATCACATCTCCAAAATACCTCCATAGCAACATCTGAAGTAGTATTTGGCCAAGCAACTGGGCACCATAGTCTAGCTAAGCTGACACATAAAATTAACCATCACACACAGTTACTTGTGAGATTCTATAAATAATATGTATCTCTGATCACTCGCCTATAAGCTTCATGAGGTAAAAGACCGCGTCTGCCTTCCCTCTCACCACTATTTCCAGCACCTAGGACATTCATATTCAGCAAAATATTTAATTAAACAGCAAATAAAATTTTGCTGAAGATAATTCAAAAACGGTTGCAGTAGTATATCAACAGGGAACTGCCAGAAATTCAAGCCGGATTCAGAAGAGGACATGGAATGAGGGATATAATTGTTGATGTTAGATGAATCTTGGCTGAAAGCAGAGAAGACCAAAAAGATATTTACCTGTGTTTTATTGACTATGCAAAGACATTCTACTGTGTAGATCATAACAAATTATGGATGATATTGCGAAGAATAGGAATTCCAGAACACTTAATTGTGCTCATGAGGAACCTATACATAGACCAAGAGGTAGTTGTCTGAACAGAACAAGGGGATACTGTATGGTTTAAAATCAGGAAATGTGTGCATCAGGATTGTATCTTTTCACCATACTTACTCAATCTGTATGCTGAGCAAATAATCTGAGAAACTGGACTATATGAGGAAGAACAGGGCATCAGAATTGGAGGTAGACTCATTAACAACCTGCTTTATGAAGATGACACAACCTTGCTTGCTGTAAGTGAAGAGGACTTGAAGCACTTACTGATGAAGATCGAAGACCACAGCCTTCAGTATGGATTACATCTCAACATAAAGAAAAACAAAAATCCTCACATCTGTACCAATAAGCAACATCATGATAAACAGAAAAGATTGAAGTTGTCAAGGATTTCATTTTACCTGGATCCACAATCAATGCTCATGGAAGCAGCAGTCAAAAAATCAAACAACGCATTGCACTGGGCAAATTCACTGCAAAAGACCACTTTAAAGTTTTAAAAAGCAAAGATGTCACTTTGAGGACTAAGGTGCACCAGACCCAAGCCGTGGTATCTTCTGTCGCCTCATATGCATGTTAAAGCTGGACAATGAATAAGGAAGAATGAAGAAGAATCGATGCCTTTGAATTGTGGTGTTGGTGAAGAATATTGAATGTACCATGGACTACCATTGAATATAACAAAACTGTTTTGGAAGAAGTACAGCTAGAATGCTCTTTAGAAGAGAGGATGGCAAGACTTAGTGTCATGTATTTTGGTCATGTTATCAGGAGGGACCAGTCCCCAGAGAAGGACATCATGCTTGGTAAAGTAGAGGGTCAGTGAAAAAGAGGAAGACCCTCAACAAGATGGATTGACACAGTGGCTGCAACAATGGGCTCAAGCATAGCAACAGTTGTGAGGATGGCACAAGACCGGGCAGTGTTTTGTTCTGTTGTACATAGGGTTGCTATGAGTCAGAACTGACTTGACGACACCTAACAACACCACCACCACTATCCTGCAAGGTAGGCAATGCTATCCTGATTTTATAGGCATAAAAAGACAAATAAAGAAGCAGAATTTAGTGGCAGAACTGAGGCAACAATAGAGGACTTTACAACAAGAACTTTCGGTATATTTTCTGAATATTATGCTATCTTGACTTCAGTTTATTTTTCCTGGAATAGTTATCATGTTAAAGGTGTAGGCACTGAGGCTCAGAGATGTTAAGTAACTTGCCCACAGTTGCTAAACCAGGTGGGGATTTGAGCCCAGGCCTGTCTGATTTCACAGTTTGGGTCCTTAACTCCTGCACTGAAGTAAAATGGATAACATGTACGGTAAGAAAAAGAGTAAAAGGAGCAGCTTTGGGCTAAGACAAAGCAAGTCCCTGTGGTTTCTCCAACCAGTGTACTAAAAGAGGGGTCAGCAAACTTTGGCCAGTGTATCAAATCCAGTCATGTAGCATGGTTTTGAATGGCCTATGAGCTAAGAATGGTTTTTACATTTAAAAAAAACCAGATGCTGTCGAGTCGATTCCAACTCATGATGACCCCATGTGTGTCAGAGTAGAACCGTGTTCCATAGGGTTTTCAATGGCTGATTTTTCAGAAGTATATTGCCAGGCCTTTCTTCCAAGGCATCTCTGGGTATATTTGAACCACTGACCTTTTAGTTAGCGGCTGATTGCTTTAAAGGTTTGCACTACCCAGGGACTGCTTACATTTTTTCAAGGGCTGTAAAAATAAAAAAACAAAGAAGAACACGTGTCAGAGACTGAATGTGGCCCTCAAAGCCTACCATATCCCTCTCTGGTCCCTTACTCCTGTACTGGGCTTGGTATGCCTCCTTCTTTCCTCCTGTAGGAGAGAAGGAAGGTGAAAGGAGACCAGCCTTTGGCGAAAACCTCCTGCGGCTATCAACACTTGACATGGATTCTCGAATTTAATTCTTAAAATCATTCTAAGAGGCGGTTTGCACTTACTGTCCCTATTTTAACCAGAGGGAAAACTGTTATTCCAAGATGAATCTCTTGTCTAAGTTCACAGCTAGGAAGTTACAGAGCTCAGATTGAGCCTTGGGTCTGTCAGGCTCTAAAACCGTGTGCCACACTGTGTGGAGCCTCTTCCTTCAGGAGTCAGCCTCGAGATTCTGTGTTTCTGAGCTGCTCATCGTCTAGCAGGAGGACAAGGTGCACACTGTGAACCAACATGCAGCCAGAAGATCCCTACAATAATCTTAGGAACACAGTGTGCCTTAGATGCACAAAGGAGGAAGGAATTAATTCTGCTAGTGAGGTGGGCTTGAGGCTTCATAGAGAAGGTGACAATGAGCTGGTCCAGAAGTGATGTTCCCAGCAAGGGACAGTATGAATCATTCAGGAAGGCATGAAAGAATGGGCGCTCTGGGAACTGGTAGGTAATTCTCTGTGATTGCAGTCTAGGGTTCACGGTGGACAGGTGGCAGGCCATATCCCTGGACAGCTAGGTTGGAGCTAGGTTATGAAGGGCTGAATTCTGAGCCCAGCGTTCTGTTAGGGGCCAGACTACTGAGCAGATAGAAACGAAAATGGTAGCTAACATAAGTTATTTGGAATTAAATGAGATTCCATATGTGAAAGTACCTGAGACATATGAACATGCCTAATGTCACTCAGGATGTCTAATATGATAAGAATAAGAGCTGCCACTGACTAAGCTTTAGTATATCTCAGCATTATGTTACTAGATACAATAATATTTTGCATAAAATATTTAATGCAACAGCCAGGATAATCTTATATGATTGATATTAATGCTCAGGTAACTAATATTACTCCTAGGAAGGCGGGGGAGCAGGTCGTGGGCCTGTTTGCTCGCAGGCCCAGTCCTTACCTCCCCTGCTCTGTGAGTGTCACCATCAGCACCCTGTTTTCTCAGACCCCAGTGTCACCTGGGTTTAGGTGGATTCAGCCAATGAGAGGCACTGGGAGGAGACCGAAGGGTGGAACACAGGGAGAAGTCAGGGCATTTTTCCCTCTTTCACTCTACTTGTGACAGTGGCTGCATCTCCTTCAAAGTGTTAGCTGCCTCCAGTCAGTCCTGCCACAGTTCCAGCTCCTGATGGGTAAGCTGGCCCCGGGTTCTGGTGACCCCACTTCCTCCCTTTGTCCTTGCAGTCTTAGGGTAGCAGCAGCTTCCTGCTGTTGTTAATCTCTGGGTTGCCTTACTGTCCCCTGCTGGTTTTTCAGCTTTTCCAACAATTGTGTACTTAATTCTTGGGTTTAAAGTCTCACAGTTTAAATACTCAGAGTGATTTCTATCTCTCAGGTCATTTCCTACTACAGTAAACATTATTATTTTTTCCTATTTTAATGTTGCTTTGCAGATTAGGAGACTGTGGCTAAGAGAGGTAAAGTAACTTTCCCAAAGTCCTAGTAAGTAAATTACAAAGTTGTGATTCAAATCCAGGTCTCGCAGCCTCTAATGCGGCACCATTAACCACTATGCCAGATTGTTTCACAGTGTGTTTGCATAAGGATCCAGTAATCAGATACGCATTCGATGTGCTAACACAGTTCAATCACATTCCTCTGACTTGTACTAGCTTGTGTGAAATGGCCTATGCTAATTAAATTAGAAGATGATTGATAGGATACTTTAAAATATAGAACGAACATCTGCGTATCTCTTTACAGCTCACGAAGAGCTAGCCCATCCATGATCTCATTTTATATTCACAATATGCTTTTCAGGATGGAAGGACAGATCTAGGGAGAAACTGAAGGTCAGAGAGGGCAGGTTAATTGCTCCAAGTCACACAGTAAGTGACAGAGGAAAGGAACACTTAAATCCAGACCTGCTGGCTCTTCATACTGATACGTCCCATCACACCAGGTAGAAATGCAGTGTTCCTTAGAGGCCAACCAGAAAGGCAAAGGCCCAGTGAGCAGGAGCTGCTCCTACCATTATTTTAGACTTCTTGAGAGTCATCAGATTCATTTATGGGTTTTTCAGATAAAGGATCTGAGGGTCTGCCATTGCATGGCACTGCCTCTTTGAAGTTCCTACTTCAAGGGAGCCTCCATTAGGCAGAGAAGGGGCTTTCTAAGTATGGTGGGTTTGCAGTGAGAACATCTGAAGCACTTGCCTGGTGGCAGCTGACTCCACTGATATTTCAATTATCCCATCTGTGTAAAAATAGATGCGTCTAAAGCACTTGAAGGCATTTTGTTCTCTTAAAATAGGCTAAAAAACATTCCTCTCTTTTGTTTGCACTCCTAACTTGTTTAGCAAGACTTTTTTCTTTTTAGAATGTAGGGTCTAGAGCCCCAAATGAACTTAAAAGTAATTTTAAAGATAACAACGAAACTAAGGGATGGTACAGTTAAATGTCCTATCCAATTTCTCACAGCTCATTGGAATATAGATTATTTGACTGATTGATACATTTATTATGTTGTACAACCAGATAACAACAATAAATAATAAATGTGTTTATTATTTTATACATAGAGAGAAAAATGAGCTTTCTCTCTGTGTATTTTACTGTGTTGTGCAGTTTTGGGAGATACCAGTTGTCACTGAGTCAATTTCAACTCATGGTGACCCCATGTGTGCTGAGTAGAACTGCTGTATAGGGTTTTTGATGGCTGTGACATTTTGAAAATAGATTGCCAGGACTGTCTTTCCAGATGCCTCTGGCTGGGTTTGAACTGCCAACCTTTCAGCTAGCAGTCCAGCACTTAATGGTTTGTGCCACCAAGGGACCATATAGTGGGATAGATGGGTTTAAAAAAATAAATACATTATTTCCTTAAGAAGTGTACCATCTACTAGGGGACATAAAGGTATGCAAATGCCTCTAAATCAAGATCAGCAATAATCGTATAGCAAAAGTCATAATATGGGTGATAGTAGTAATTCAAAATCTGCTCTTGGCAATGGCCACGAGGTATGACTCAGTACTGATGCATTGAGCAGTAATGATGGAAGACCAGACGCATTGTGGGATGACATCAAGGACGTCATATGTGAAGAAAGCAGAAGGTCATTAAAAAGACAGAAGAGAAAGAAAAGACCATAAAGGATGTCAGAGGAGACTCTGAAATTTGCTCTTGAATGTCGAATAGCTAAAGCAAACAGAAGAAATGATGAAGTAAAAGAGCTGAACAGAAGATTTCAAAGGGTAGCTTGAAAAGACAAAGTAACATTATAGTGAAATGTGCAAAGACCTGGAGTTAGAAAAGCAAAAGGGAAGAGCACACTCAGCATTTCTCAAGCTGAAAGAACTGAAGAAAACGCTCAAGCCTTGAGTAGCAATATTGAAGTACTCTATGGGCAAAATACTGAATGACACAGGAAGCATCAAAAGAAGATGGAAGGAATACACAGAGTCGCTGTACCCAAAAGAATTAGTCGATGTTCAGCCATTTCAGGAGGTAGCATAAGATCAAGAATCAATGGTATTGAAGGAAGAAGTCCAAGCTGCACTGAAGGCACTGACGAAAAACAAGGCTCCAGGAATCGAGGGAATACCAACTGAGATGTTTCAACAAACAGATGCAGTGCTGGAAGCGCTCACTCGTCTACGCCAAGAAATTTGGAAGACAGCTACCTGTCCAACCAACTGGAAGAGATCGTTATTACAGCCCATTCCAAAGAAAGGTGATCCAACAGAATGTGGAAATTATCAAACAATATCATTATCACATGCAAGTAAAATTTTGCTGAATATAATTTTAAAAAGTTGAGCAGTATATCAACAGGGAATTGCCAGAAATTCAAGCTGGATTCAGAAGAAGACATGGAATGAGGGATATCATTGCTGATGTCAGATGGATCTTCGCTGAAAGCAGAGAATACCAGAAAGATGTTTACTTGTTTTATTGACTATGCAAGGGTATTTGACCGTGTGGATCATAACAGATTATGGATAACGTTGCAAAGAATGCGAATTTCAGAACACTTAATTGTGCTCATGTGGAACCTGTACATAGACCAAGAGGCAGTCGTTTGAACAGAACAAAGCGATACGGGGTGGTTTAAAATCAGGAAAGGTGTGTGTCAGTCTTGCATACTTTCACAATACTTATTCAATCTGTATGCAGAGCAAATAATCCGAGAAGCTGGACTATATGAAGAAGAATGTGGCATCAGATTCATTAACAACCTGCAATATGCAGATGACACAATCTTCCTTGCTGAAGGAAAGAGGACTTGAAGCACTTATTGATGAAGATCAAAGACTACAGCTTTCAGTATGAATTACACCTCGACATAAAGACAACAGAAATTCTCACAACTGGATCAATAAGCAACATCATGATAGAAGGAGAAAAGATTGAAGTTGTCAAGGATTTCATTTTACTTGAATCCACGATCAACTCCTTTGGAAGCAGCAGTCAAGAAATCAAACAACGGATTCGCATTGGGCAAGTCTGCTGCAAAAAAACTTCTTTAAAGTGTTGAAAAACAGAAGATGTCATTTTGAGGACTAGGGTACGCCTGACCCAAGCCATGGTGTTTTCAATCGCCTCATATACATGCCAAAGCTGGACAATGAATAAGGAACACCAAAGAAGAATTGATGCCTTTGAACTATGGTGTTGGCAAAAAATACTGAATACACCATGAACTGCCAGAAGAATGAACAAGTCTGTCTTGGAAGAAGTACAGCCAGAGAACTCCTTGGAGGCAAGGATACTGAGACTTCGTCTTGCGTACTTTGGACATATTATCAGCAGGGACCTGTCCCTGGAGAAGTACGTCAAGCTTGGTAAAGTAGAGGGTCAGCGAAAAAGAGGAAGACCGTCAACAAGATGGACTGACACAGTGGCTGCAACAATGGGCTCAAACATAGTAACGACTGTGATTGTGAGGTTGGTGAAGGTCTGGGCAGTGTTTTGTTCTGTTGTCCATAGGGTTGCTATGAGTTGGAACCGACTCAATGGCATTTAACAACAACAATAACTGAAAGAATAAGGTTTTGAAACACAAAAAACTACCAAAAATGAATTAAAGCTGTGGTGAGGAATCTGTAGTCCAGGCTACATCTGGCCTTTGGCTTCATCCATCTGGCCTGAGGCAAGCTTTCTAAATTAAGTATCTGGAGGCCTCCTCCCTTAAGAACAACAAATACAGTGCTTCCCAGGTCTGAAGGAGAATTCTGAAGCTCCTCCTGCTGGGTGTCCTGTTTTTGCTGTTTAACTCCCTTGAAGCCACAGTAGGTGATTCTGGAGGGGGTTGTAACCTGGTCTTCTTGGTCAGGGAAGAGACAGGCCCCGTGGTGTGGTGTGTGGGGTGGGCTCTATGGGAATGAAGACATGGGCAGAGTGGGCTGCAGGTCCCAGGACTTTGACCTGCTTGGGCCGAAGAGGGGATGGAACTCTAAAGAGGCCTGAGAGGTTGGGGAAAGTTACAGGAAGGGCAAACCAGGCTGGATGAGTATTTTTAAGCTCAGCTTGGGGAAGTCATTAATTTTAAGATGCTTTTCTGACCAGTGTGGTGTCAGAGCTAAGGAGGAGGGGGAAACCCTGAGCAGCTCCAGAGGGTGTTGTTGGATGGGAACCTGACTGTGTGTAGAGTGATGTGTTGGCTTCTCTCTGCTGTGAACTGCCTGTTCCTCCCTCTTTCTCGCAGGGGCCCCTTTCCTCTCTGAGCAATCTCTGTCTCCTCTCTTCTTTTTGATCTAAATGACTCTCATCCTTCCCATCACTTATGCTCTTAATACCCAAGTTGCAGTCAAGTCAATTCCGACTCATAGTGACCCTATAGGACAGAGTAGAACTGCCCTGTAGGGTTTCCAAGGATGTAATCTTTACAGAAGCCGACTGACACATCTTTCTCTGGCGGAGCAGCTGGTAGATTCAAACCACTGACCTTTTGGTTAGCAGCCAAGCACTTAGCCACTGTACCACCGGGGCCTCTTATGCCCTTACTAGCCCCCTCAAAACACAAACATATTTACGAATGCAAACATAGGAATAGTCAATCCTCATTATTCTTGGATTCCATATTTGTTGCCAACTTGCTAAAATTTACTTGTAACCCCAAATTCAATACCTTAGGTGACACTTTGGTGGTGATTTGTGACATGTGCATGCATAGAGCTGCAAAAACCTTGAGTTGCCAAACCCTGGTTACCAGCTAAGGTCCAACAAGTCTGATTCAGTACTCACTAATTCAGTGTTTCACGGTGACTTTATAGAATATAATGAGAATCGAATGTATATGCAATTCTTTTTGGAGAGTGACTCTTTGTCTTCAGTTTGGTTGAACAGGGGTTGCCCATTTACAAATCTATGTGGAAAAATAATGGTATCAAGAAATGGACCACATAGATATAAAACTACCAGTTGCTGTGGAGTCATTTCTGACTCATGGCCACCTCACATGTTTCAGAGTAGAACTGTGCTCCATGTGATTTTCAATGGCTGTGATCTTTCAGAAGAAAATTGCCAGGCCTTTCTTCTGAGGCACCTCTAGGTGGATTTGAACCACCAACCTTTGGTTAGTAGCTGAATGCTTAATCGTTCACACCACTCAGGAACTCCTATTTTTATTCTAAATATTTTTGAGTCTGTGGATGATTTTGTCTCCATCAGGAGAGACTAAAATAGAGAAGGAGTATGGGAGGGCCAGTAAAATCATAGATCCCTGGCAGGGCATGAAGAAGAGCACAGATAGGGGTGAACTGAGTTCATTGCTGTGGAGATAAACTCAGCTCAGATTGAGATACATAGGAAATTACAAAATCCATGTTGCTGGAAGAGCTTGAGAGGGAGACAGAAGAGGGCTATAGTTCAGCTTAGATCCAGAGAGAGACACCATCACCTTCTCAGGCATCCACCAAGGAGCATTGCCCGGAGCCTTTGACTTAAGCATCTTGGTATGACATGCTTTTTCTAAAGGATAGAATAGAATCCATAACCTTTTCATGCACCTGGAGTTGCACCTCAAGTGTACAGAGAGAGACCTCTACACTTGAATGTTAGAGACCTGGGTGTCCTGGCTCCCCACTAATCAGCAGTGCGACCTTGGGCCAGTCGCTTAACTAATCCGGACCCTACTGGGTGTGGGAGTAGATGATCTCAAAGGTTCCAACAGGAGGAATTATTCACATCTTCATAGATTATCACTTCAGTGGTAGTGGTTCTCATAATGACTGGCCTGAGAAAGTATATGTTGGGGGTAAAAGATTTCTCAGGAAGGAAGATCTGAGACTGTAGTCAAGAGAAAGACATGTAGCCTGGGATGGGGTAGGGAAGGTAGGGAGCTGACACGCCACAGGCTCTATAGTTTGTTCACTATGACCATTGTAGCTTGTGTAATAAAAAATATTGTAAAGTCAGGGCCCCCAAAGACTCATAATCTACTGTTTTGTTTTGTTTTTTAATTTCATCTGTCCAATCTGCCCAAGTCCTCAGATTGCATTATTGCTATTAATTATTATGAATTCTTTCTTTATAGGGCAGAGGACTAATTAGCTCTATTTCTTGTTTTCTCCCCTCAGGGACCAGTACATGATGTTTGATGGTACTTGCATGCCTGGGGATGTCGGGATGAAGGAGTAAATTCCATGAGTTAATAGCTCAGGAGAGAAGGTGGCCAGGCCAAGGTAGAAGTGTGCGTGGGGATGGAAGAAGAGAGCCCAGCAGACACAGCTTGCTCTGGTTGCTGCTTCCACATCTGCACCCCAGGACCCAGCCATGAATAATGCTGTTGGCCCAGCAAGACCACCCCCTCGTTGCGTCTGGAGTTTTCTCCTAGTCTTGCATCAATCTTGTTATTTGTCTGATTTTTCATTTCCTGGGTGGTTTTGGCTAGGAGAAGTTCTTCAAGAGCTGATGTGTCAATCTAATTATAATTAATAAGTTAGAGGTTGTGGGATGCTCTTGATTTTCCCACCTTGCAAACGGAATTAGGCCTGAAGAGTAAGGAGCCTGTGTGACTTTCCTCAGTGTTGAGGTCACTAAGCTTAGGGATGCCAAACACTTTGGGATGCTCCATGGGAAAGCAGATTGTTGCTTTTGGTAGGATTCAACTTTTTTGTTGTTGTTGTCATTTTTAAATTTCAAAGAAGTTCTGCCAAAGTTCCAGGCCAAAGAGCAAGATACAGTATAACAGTGTTCAAATGTGCCTCTTATTAACTGTGTGATTTTGGCCAAGTTATATAACCCATCTAATTTCAGTTTCTTGCTGGTAAAATAGAGCTCATGATAATACCTACCACACGGGAATACAATGGGGAATAGATAAGATAATAAATAATGCATGCTCTGATGCCAAAGGCTAAGTATCTCAGTAGTTTAGGTTCAGGAGAGCCAACATTAGCATTGTGAGGACCTGTGTGGTGAGGAAGGAAGAAGGAGGAATAGGAATAACTGAATCTCAATTATGGAAAAATACATCTTAGTGGGTTTAGAACATGAGTTTTAGAGTCAGACCTAGGATCAACTTCCACTTCCATCATTTACTAGATGTGTGACATTGGGCAGTACTTTCCTCTCGGAACCTCAGTTTGCTCATCTGTAAAATGGGAATAAAAATAGTATCTGCTTTATAGGGCTGTCTTGAGAATTAAATGAGACAACGCTTTATGGCAGAGACTAGCTAGATACTCAACAAACCTCTTTCCTTTTCTTCCTGGGTCCTTTTCTTAGTTATCTAGTGCTGCTATAACAGAAATACCACAAATGGGTGGCTTTAACAAACAGAAATTTATTTCCTCACAGTTTAGGAGGCTAGAAGTCTGAATGCAGGCCACTAGCTCTAGGGGAAGCCTTTCTCTCTCTGTCGCTTCTGGAGGAAAGTCCTTGTCTCTTCTGAACTTCTGCTCCTGGGCAATCTTCATGTGACTTGACATCTCTCTTCCCGCCATCTCTCCTTCTCTCACTTGCTTGTTTAATCTCTTTTATATATTAAAAGAGATTGACCCAAGATACGCCCTACACTAATCCTGCCTCATTAACATAGCAAAGACGATCCATTCCCAAATGGGATTATAACAACAGGCATGTTGTTGTTAGGTGCCATCGAGTCAATTCGGACTCATAGGGACCCTATGTACAAAGAAACACTGCCCAGTGCTGCACCATCCTCATAATCATTGTTATATTTGAGCCCATTATTGCAGCCACTGTGTCAATCCATTTTGTTGAGGGTCTTCCTATTTTTTTGCTGACACTCTATTTTACCAAGCATGATGTCCTTCTCCAGGGACTGGTCCCTCCTGATAATATGTCCAAAGTATGTGAGACGAAGTTTCACCATCCTAGCTTCTAATGAGCTTTCTGGCTATACTTCTTCCAAGACAAATTTGTTCGTTCTTCTGGCAGTCCATGGTGTATTCAATATTCTTCGTTAACACTCTAATTCAAAGGCATCAGTTCTTCTTTGGTCTTCCTTATTCATTGTCCGGCTTTCATACGCATATGAGGCAATTGAAAACACCATGGCTTGGGTCAGGTGCACCTTAGTCCTCAGGGACTTTTTAATGCTTTAAAGAGGTCTCTTGCAGGTCTCTTTGCCCAATGCAACGCGCTGTCTGATTTCTTGACTCTCATCAGCCAGATATCCAAGTCCATCGCTTACAAGTTTTACCTTCCACCAAATATTTGAACATAATTTAGATAAGTTTCTTTGACATTACATCAAAAGCATCACCTTTCCTCCATTGTCCAATCACATGTTCATCATTTTCTTTTCAAGCCTTAGCAGAAGCACATTTAATATCCACGTTTCTCGCAACATTCTATTGCTGGTGCCATATGTATCCTCTAAGACAATAGACACTTTCTAGCTCTCCTCACTTCCTTCTGAGCCCTCACCAGAATTACCTTCATCATCCATAATTCTACCAACAGTCTCTTTAAGGCACTCTAGGCATTTACTATTAGGCACCTTAAAACTCTTCCATCTTCTACTCATTACTCAATTCTAAAACTGCTTCCACATTTTAGTATGTGTTAGAGCATCACCCCGCTCTACCAGTACCAAGTTCTGCCTTAGTTATCTAGTGCTGCTATAACAGAAATAACACAAGTGGTTGGCTTTAACAAACAGAAATTTATTTTCTCACAATTTAGGAGGCTAGAAGTCTGAATTCAGGGTGCTGACTCTAGGGGGAGGCTTTCCCTTTTGCCTCTGGAGGAAAGTCCTTGTCTCTTCTGAGCTTCTGCTCCTGGGCAATCTTCATGTGGCTTGGCATCACTTTTCCCCTATCTCTTCTCTGTTCGCTTGTTTAATCTCTTTTCTATCTTAGCAGAGATTGACTCAAGATATACCCTACATTAATCCTCCCTCATTAACATATCAAAGACAACCCATTCCCAAATGGGTTTATAACCACAGGCATAGAGGTTAGGATTTACAATACATATTTTGGGGGGACATAATTCAATCCATAACAGTCCCTGATAGACTACATTTCCCAGCCTCCTTGAATCTAAGTGAAGCCACGTATGGCAAAGATATGATCAGTGGAATGTAAGTGCAAGTGAGATGTATGCTACATAGGCTAAACCTTACCCCTAAAATCTCTCTTGTGATCCTTTATACCTTCTCTTTCCTCATCTTCTGGGTAGATGTAGGGGATCCAGGGAATTAATTGGGCCCCAGGGAGGGCAAAGCCTCTACATGGAAGGAACCTGTGTTCCTGAATGATTGCCAACCTGCATTGGGTTGTGGCTTGAACTACTGAGATATTAGAGTTGTTTGTCAAACAGTTAATCTATCCTCATTTATTAATCCTCATAAAGCACATAGTAATTCCTCAACAAACGTTAGCTATCCTTACTACTTACTCCCTACTGGAATGTCTGAGTAGGCAACTCCAAACCCACCATGATTCAATAAGGGTTAATACTACAAGTGAATTTTTGTTCTCTCCCCTGGCTAAAAGATGGACTCCTAAATCTCTAGATTCCCAAAAAAGAAATTAAATCATTCATTCACTCATTTATCCCATCAGTAAACATTCACTGGATGCCTACTATTTATAGAGTTCAGTTAGGTGCCAGGAATGCAGAGATGATAATGACATCTTCATGGAATCTTCTATTTCGTAGACACTGACATGCAACTATATTATCAAGCAGAATGAAATGTGTGCTTTAACTGTCACCTAATCATCATCAATGTCAGTGAAAAAGAGGAATACCCTCAGTGAGATGGATTGACACAGTGGTTGCAACAATGGGCTCAAACATAGCCATGATTTTGAAGGTGGTATAGGACCAGGCAGCATTTCGTTCTGTTGTACATGGGGTCACACTGAGTTGGAACTGACTCAACAGCACCTAACAACAACAATCATCAGTTATGGCCTATGTCACTTTACTTTTTAAAACGTCAGTAAGATACCTTCAGAGTTCCACCTGGCGTAGATCTGTGGCAAGGTTTTACCACTTTCCTGCCATCCTTCATCTTGACTTTGTATGCTCAGGGAAAGAGAAGGTAAAGAGAGTCGAGTAGGAGCTTGTTGTTTCACTGAAAACCAAATGTGTGTTTGTATGGTGTTGATCTGTGGCCTCTCCAGCCTTGCCAGCCCCTCCCTTTCTTTCTCTCTTCCTCTCTGGGACTGTGTGACTGTACACCATGGGGCACCAGCTCCTTCTGCACTGTGCTCACTTGTCCTTGCTTTATTTGGGCAGGATGAGCCCAAGTTCAGTTATGACAGTCTAGTCCTAGTTCTGCTCAACTCGGCCACCTCCTCTCCCTCAAACTCAACTTTCTTATCTGTATAATAGGCTGTTAGATTGGAATTCAGGTCAGCAAGTGCATGGCATTCACTCCCATCCATGAGGGACCTCGCTGACTTATCAAGGTGCTCATGTTTGCTGACCCTGAACTCAAGAATACATCACACAGTTTCTCAGTACAGACTTCCAAAAAGCTCTATCAATCAGTCAAAGTTAGTCTGAGGGCTAGATGATCTCCGGCTTCTTTGGTAACGATAATAATAACTCTCCAAAACAAAACAAACTAAACTCATTGCCGTTGAGTTGATTCTGACTCATAGTGACTCTACAGGACAGGGTAGGACTGCCCTTTCCAAGGAGTAGCTGATGGATTCAAACCGCTGACCTTTTGGTTAGCAGTCTGAGCTCTTAATCACTGTGCTGCCAGGGCTCCGGTAATAACTCTCAGCCCTTTAAATTTATTTTTCAAAGCACACACACACATATTTAATATATATGTGTGTGTATATATATGTGCACATATACATATGGTGCAGGACTGGGCATTGTTTCGTTCTGTTGTTCACAGTGTTGCTATGAGTTGGAACTGACTCGATGGCACCTAACAACCAACAACAACATATATATGTTGTATATATATATATATATAAAACACAAATATATAATTTGCTAAGCACCTAGTTATTTTTGTACCCTTCCTTCACTGTGCTCTGCCATCAAGAAAAGCTTAACAAATATTTGAGGATTGAGAAGGACTCTCCTCTTCCTGCTCTCGCTTCTCCTTCTGATCTTGGCTTCCATTCTCTATGCCAATAGATTCTTTCTCAATCACAA